CGCCGTAAATCCGCTTGCACTGGGGGGAACTGGGAGTTACTGGGGGGGAACTGGGAGTTACTGGGGCTGGGCAGGGGCAGGGGCAGGAGAAGGAGCTGAACAGGATGAAGAAAAGGAGCTGAACAGGAGGAAGAGAAGGAGCAGAGGAGGAGGAAGAGAAGGAGCAGATCAGGATGAAGAAAAGGAACTGAACAGGAGGAAGAAAAGGATCAGAGCAGGAGCAGAGAAGGAGAAAGAGCAGATCAGGACCAGGAGCAAGAGCTGAACAGGAGGAAGAAAAGGAGCAGAGCAGGAGGAGAGAAGGAGCAGATCAGGAGCAGAAGAAGGAGCAAAAGAAGGAGCAGGAGCAGAGCAGGAGCAGAAGAAGGAGCAGAAGAAGGAGCAGGAGCAGATCGGGATCAGAAGAAGGAGCAGGAGCAGATGAGGAGCAGATGAGGAGCAGAAGAAGGAGCAGATGAGGAGCAGAGCAGGAGCAGCTGAGGAGCAGCTGAGGAGCAGATGAGGAGCAGGGCAGAGCGGTGCCCCCCCTCCCAAGCCCCCAGCACTCACCTTGATCACCAGGGGCTCGGGTTGGCACTTGAGCTCCTCGTCCCTACACACGGTCACGGGGCCCCCTCGCAGGATGCTGCCCCCCACGAACACCTGCAGGGGGGCAGCGGCACACCCGTGGCACACCCGTGGCACACCCGTGGCACACACGTGTCCTTGGTATGTCCCTGGCGTGTCCCCACCCCCCCGTGCCCCCCGTGCCCCCCTGACCTGCCCCACCAGCCGGGGCTTGCAGTTCTTGCTGAGCTCGTACTGCCGGATGTCCCCGTGGATCCAGTTGCTGAGGAACAGGAACCTGTCGTCCGGGGAGATGAGCAGGTCCACGGTGAAGGCTGCGACAGGGACACGGCTCAGGGGCAGCCCCAGCACGGGGCACGGGGCCCTGGGCTCAGCCAGGCTCGGGGCTCAGCCAGGCTGTGCCAGCCTGCACTGCCCGGGGCTCCGCCAGGGAGAAGGAAGGGCCCCGAGGGGGTCCCACCAACCTGGCATCTTGGGCATGATCCAGCCCGACACCTCCTTGGGCGGGATGCGAATCACCTCCTCCACGGCCCAGTTGTCTCTCTGGGTGCACAAACACGGACCCCTCAGCCCCCCCAGTGCCCAACCTGGGGGCTCCCCTGAGCCCCCCCAGTGCCCATCTCGGGGGGTCCCCTGTGTCCCACCCAGTGCCCGGGGGCTCCCCTGTGTCCCCCTCAATGCCCGGGGGCTCCCCTGAGCCCACCCAGTGCCCAGGGGCTCCCCTTTGTCCTCCCAAGTGCCCGGGGGTTCCCCTGTGTCCCCCTCAATGCCCGGGGGCTCCCCTGTGTCCCCCCCAGTGCCCAACCCAGGGGCTCCCCTGTGTCCCCCCATCCCGGGGGCTCCCCTGAGCCCCCCCAGTGCCCGGGGGAGCCCATCCGACCCCCCCAACCCCTCTGCACAGCCCCCTCCTCCCCTCAGCCCCCCCCCCGGGGGTCCCGGTGCCCACCTGGCACTTGTAGAAGCGGTAGGTGACCCCGCTGAGGGCACAGGCCACGTAGCCCTCGGCGGCCTCAGGGTTGTGCAGGAATCTCACGCTCAGGGGCAGCGAGTCCTCGCCCAGGTCGAAGCACTGGGTGAGGCTGCGGCACGACAAGTCCCACACGTTCAGCCGGCGCCCGTAGACCCCTGAGGGGGGGCACAGAGGGGTCAGCACAGGGCACGGGGGGTGGCACAGCCCCACCCAGCCCCTCCCCAAAACGCTCCCGCCCCAAAACGCCGCGGGAGCCGCCAGAGAGGGGAAAAGGGGGGAAATCCGCCCTCCTAAAGGTGCCCCCCGCACCCCCCCCGTGTGCCCCCACCTTTCTTCAGGTCGTCGGGGTTGAAGCCCCGTCCCGCCCGCCTGGGCACGGCCCCGGCAGAGCTGACCAGCACGTTGTGCCGCGGCTGCAGCCAGAAGTCGTAGCCCGTCGGGGGGGCCTCGCACTCGTTCTCCCAGTTGCCCTTCAGCTCCAAGGTCTCCCCGTCCAGCACCACGAAGCCACCTGGGAGGGACACACGAAGAGGGGGCGGGTTGGGACTTGTCCAGGCTCCGGGAAAAGCACAACTCCGGGAATGGGGGGGGGCGGGATGAGGCACCTTTGCCGTTGCCCGCGGGGTCTCCCATGTTGGCGATGAGCACGTCCCCGTTGGGCAGGCTGTGGGTCACGGCCAGGTAGCCCTTGTTGCACGTCCAGAACACGTCCACCGGCTCGATCGTCTGCCAAAGGGACACACAAACCCCCCTCAGCCCCCGACTGCTCGGCTCCTCCCGCACCCCCGCGGGATCCTCGGCCTCGGGAAACTCCCCCCGAGGGCCTCCAGTCTCACCCTCGGCCACTCCCGACATCCCCGGGGCTCCCGGAGCTTTTCCCCTCCCAGAGCCCCCCTGGCTGGGGCTGCTCCTCCCCGGGGAGGGCACAGAAGCCCCTCCTGAGCTGCCCCCGGAGCGACTCCCGGCTCGGAGCAGCTGCCGGGACCCCCCCACTCTTTGGGGGGCAGGGAGGGGGTGCTGGGGACTCCCTGTGGGCACAAAGGTGCCCCCCACACTCTTTGGGGGGCAGGGAGGGGGTGCCGGGCACCCCCGGGGGTTCCTCGTGGGCACAAAGGTGCCCCCCAAGGCCGGGGGGAGCCCCCCCGGGAGCGGCAAGGACAGAGCCCGGAGGAAAACTGTGCCAGCTCTGCCAAGCCAGGCTGCGAGAGAAGCTGAGCAGAGAAGCCCCCGGTGCCCGGGCAGCGCCCCAGAAGCCCCAGTTACCCAACTGGCCCCGGTGTTTCCCCCCCCCGGGCATACCTTGCACAGCTTGGGGGCCCGGCACTGGGAGCCCACATCCACCACGTAAATGCGGGAGGAAATCAGACAGGGCAGCACCAGCTTGTTCCTCCTCGGGGAGCCGCTGTCAAAGCAGCCGCAGCCAGAGCTCCACCCCGAGCAGTGCAGCTCGTCCTTGAGGTTGGGCATGGGCAGCCGGTGGATCACCTGCGGCGGCCAAGGCACAGTTAGGGGGGAGGCAGGGCCTGGGGGGGCTCTCGGGGGGCTCCCTGGCACCGCCCGGGCACGGCCGGGGGCACGACGCTGCTCCCTGCCCTGGGCACTGCTCTGCCAGAGGGGGGGAAATCATTCCCAGCTCTGCTCAGCCCGTTCCGTTCCCATCCAGGGGAACATTCCCGGGGAGAAGGGATGTTCCTCCTCCTCCTGCCAGAGCCGGGGCTTTGCTCCGCAAACTCCTCCCCAGGAGGGAGTTTCAAATGCGCTGGGATCGTTCAGGAGCCCGGTCTGGCTTGGGAGGGACTTTTCCAGGAGTTTCAAATGCACTGGGATCGTTCAGGAGCCTGGTCTGGCTTTGGAAGGGCTTTTCCTTCTGGGCACAGGTGATCTCAGCACCCTGGATGTGGGAATGTGCCTTGGCAGCCCCCGGGGGCAGGGAAATGCCCGTGTGCCAGCTGGGATGGGCACAGGCAGCACCAGGGAACATCCCCGACAGACAGAAACCTGCTGGAATCTGCTCCAGGGCACCCGAACCCCCCGGGACACCCCAAGGTTCCCCTCCTGCCCAGGTGATCCCCAGCTCGTGCTCCAGGGGCTCAAAACCGCTCCAGGATCCTCTGGAAGGGAGTTGGGAAGTGACTCAGAGCCGACCTGTGCCCGGGGACACCGAGATGGAGACGAGCCAGGAGCACACGGGGGAGTGGGAAGAGAGCAGGAAGGTGGGAATTCCGAGCAGAAAACCCCCCTGGCTGGTGCAGGACACCAGGGAGGGGAGAGGAGACAGGACAGAGCTCCCGAGAGGTTTCCCAGGTGGCTCCTGCCAGGGGACAAGGAGCAGGATGAGGCAGATCCAAGGAGGTGCCAGGCAGGGGCAGAGGGGCCACCCAGAAACCTGCTTTTGCCCAGCACAGCAGAGAGAATGTCCCGACCCTGGAGGCCTTTGAAGCAGAAGAAGCAGCGGCAAGTCCCCAAGCCAGGAAAAGCAGAGAGGAGCAGGTACCTGGCCATAGCAGGGAGACCTGGGGTTGAGGTCCACGGTGGCCAGGAAATCGGGTTGGTCGATGCAGGTGGATCTGTAGGTGCAGGTCACGTAGGCGACCTCCTCCCGAGGGGCTGGCTCACAAAACTTGGCTTTAAAACACACCCCCGGGGCCGTCAGAGAGGGCGGCGAGAGATGCAGCCAAAACTCCCGGCCGGCCCCGAACCGAGGGGCTGGACCCGACCCCGAGCCCTCCCCGAGCCCTCCCCAGCCCCGGCCCCGGGGGCAGGAGCACGGCCGAGGGGTCCCAGAGTTTCCCCCGCTGGGGAAGGGGCTCCCGGGGGTCCCCCAGACCCCAAATCCTCCCCCAGGGCCCCCTGGCCACCCCCTGCCCGGGACTTGCCTTTGGCCACGTCGGGGCAGCACGAGGGGTACTCGTAGCACTGAGCTCTGCATCGGTCTGGGGGGAGAGCAGAGAACGGGAGCCTGGGCTGGGCCCGCGGGCTCAGGGGGCTCCTCTGAGCCCAGCCCGGGCCACCTTCCCCCAGCCCGGGCCACCTTCCCCCAGCCCGGCTGGCCCCGGGCACCGCCGGGACACGGACAACCCCGGCACTGGGATCGGGATCCTGGGAGTGGGATCGGGATCCCGGGACTGGGATCGTCCTCCCGGGACAGGGATCGTGATCCCGGGACAGGGTTCGTCCTCCCGGGGCTGGGTTCGTCCTCCCGGGACAGGAATCGTCCTCCCGGCACAGGGATTGTCGTCCCGGGACTGGGATCGTCCTCCCGGCCCGGGCCCCGCTCTCTGTCCCCTCCCGAAACCCTCCGAGCCCCTCCCCGAGCCCTCCCCGCTGCAGGGACGGGCACGGAGCTGCCCCCGGAGCCGGGGCTGGATGGAAGGGCCAGCCTGGCACGTTCCCTCCGATCCGGGATGCCCCGAGGTCCGGGATGCCCCGAGGATGCCCCGGGCACCGGGGGAGGCTCCCCGGGCACGGAGCCGCAGCTCCCGAGGCCAAAGGGAAGCCCCACCTTGGGCAGCGCCGGCACCGACGGGACGAGGCTCGGTGCCACCTTCCCCCTCCCTGTAGGGTCACAGCCCCCCGTGCCCCTCGGTGCCACCTTCCCCCCAATCCCTGCAGGGGCACAGCCCCCCGTGCCAGGGGGGGATCGGGGCTGGAGCTGCCCGGGGGGGGCTGCCGGGGGTCTCTTACCCATGGCTGGAGCCTGGGGGTGCCTGTGCTGCTGTCGGAGGGTTCCGGGGCTGGAGCTGCAGCTGCTTCTCCCGCTGGAGCGGCTGGTGCCGGCCCGGGAGCTGCGGGGGGATTTATATCCCCGGCCCGGGGGCCCGGGGGCAGCGGGGAAGCCGCCAAGGGAGGGGCCGGGGCTGCCCCAGCGCTTGGGAGGGGCCGGACCAGCCCCGCGGCTTCTCGGCCGCCTCCCCACGCCCCATCTGGGGCCGGATCTGCTGCCCCGGCAGCTCTCGGACCCGCACACCAACCTCCCGCAGCTGAGGCCGCCGCTTTTACCCCCCCAACCCCCGGGAACGGCTTCTCCCTCCCTCCTGACCCCCCAAATCCCGACCCGCGCTCCTGCCCCCCCCAAATCCCGACCCGCGGGATGCGCAGCCCGGCGGGATCAGCCCCGGGATCATCCCCGCGGGATCCGGGCACGCCGAGACCCCCGAGGGCACCTCCGGGCTCTGCATCCCTCCCATCCCGGGGTCCTGAGGGTTCCAGGGGCTCCCGGGGCTCCCTCGGGGCAGCTCCAGAGGGGCCTCTGCCCACGGACGGGGCTTTGGGAGCTCCCGGACACGGGGATGGGCTCGGGCAGCGCCCTGGGGGGCATCCAAAGGGATGGGAAGCACCTCGGGGGGGAGTTGGAGCCTCGGGAAACACACCCCAGGGTCAGGGCACGGCTCTGCCTCCCGGGATCACGTTTCCCGGGGGGAAAAGTCGGCCCAGATGGGGCAAAGTGAAGCCTGTGGGGTCTGGGGGGCTCAGCAGGGCCGGGGCAGCCCCTGCTCGCTGTGCCCAGCTCTGCCCCACACACACCCCCGGCCCAGGGAGGGCACCGGGGGGGTTGGGGGACCCCCAAACTGGGCTGAACTGACCCCAAACCCCCCGGGAAGGGCACAGACCCCCTTCAAGGGCCCGGGGGTGGCACCGGGGGGGTTGGGGGACCCTCAAAATGGGCTGAACCCGCCCCAAACCCCCCTGGGAAGGGCACAGACCCCCTTCAAGGGCCCGGGGGTGGCAGAAGGGAACCCCCCCCATCCTGAGGCCCCCCCAGCCCGGCTGCCCAATTCCAGCAGGAAGGAAGGAACACTCAGGGCCCTGGAACGTGCATCAGATCTGGGGGCAGAGCTCCCCAATCAGTGGGCACATGCCAGGCCCAGCTAATTGCTGCCCAGGAATGCAGCACCAGCCCAGGGGACCATTAGGGAGCCCCGGGCAGGTCCCAGCACCGGCAGCGAGGGAGGGAGGGCACAGCTCAGCCCCCTGCCCTGGGCTGCCAGCCCAAAGGGCTCTGCTGCCACAGCAGCCCCTGGCTCGTGGCCCAGGGGCACGGGGCACCAGCCCAGCCCTGCCCGGGCCCTCCTGCACACCCAAAGGGCTGCACTGGGCAACACTCGGGGCACAAAGGGCACTAAACCAGCCTGGCAGGGCCAGCCCGGGGGCAAAGGGGGCACAGGGACCAGCCCCAGCCCCACACAGACACTGCCAGGTCACCAGGCCGTGGACAACGGGGTGTCCAGGGGCATCCAGGGGCACCCCAGGGCAGCAGAAGGGCTCCAACAATGCCAGGGATGGAAAAGGGGCAAATCCTGGGAAGAGGGGGCTCCAAGGCAGGGAAAGAACTGCAGATGTGGGAAGAGCAACCCCGTGGGGAGACCTTGGATCCTCCTTTTGGCTCAGACAGCCCAGGGAGCCCCTTCTGGAGGCCTTTCCATGGCTCCAGGGACCCTCTGGAGTGAGCTCAGGCTCCCCCCGGGCCGGGCACATCCCGGCACAGGAACCTTGCCCGGGCAGTGCCCAGGAGAGGCCGTGGCTGCCCCAGCCCTGGCACTGCCCCAGCCCAGGGGAAGGTGTCCCTGCCACCCACCAGAGCCCGGATTCCCTTCCCACCAAACCACTCCCGGGCTGGCAACCAGGGCAATTCCTGCCCGGGGGGAGCCCAGGGAGCGTCTCCAGCTCCAGCCCGGGCAATCCTGGAAGGCTTTGGCTCGGGAGGGGCATCAAAGCCCAGCCAGTGCCAGCCCTGC